CAAAAAGATTTACACACCCCTATGTTCATTGCAGCATTATTTACAATAGCCAAGACAAGGAAAGAACCTAAGTGACTATCCAGGGATGAATGGATAAAGAAAATGTGGCATATATACACAGTGGAATGTAATTCGGCCGTAAAAAAGAATGAAATCTTGCCATTTGCAACAGCATAGGTGGACTTTAAGGGCATTATGCTATGTGATTTAAGTCAGACAGAAATAGACCAACTATGATTTCACTTACATGTGGAATCCTTGGCCGGGGGGCCGTGGAGATTAGGTTTATTTATTGGAGGAGGTACTGGGGATTGAACCCAGGACCCCGTGCATGCTAAGCGTGCGTTCTACCGCTTGAGCTATATCCTTCTCCATACATGTGGAATCTTAAAACAGAAAACTCAAACCCATAGATACAGGGAACAAATTGGTGTTTGCCAGAGGTGCGGGGACGGGTGAAATGGGTAAAGGTGGTCAAAAGATATAAATTTCCTTTAGATAAAATTCCTTCCTATAAAATAAATAAGTCCTTGGGATGTAGTGTACAACATGGTGACTATAGTTAATAATAATACTGCATTATATATTTGAAAGTTGCTAAGAGAGTAGATCTTAATGTTAACTAGATTTATTGTGTTCATTGTGCAGTATATACAAATATTAAATCATTACGTTGTACACCTAGAATTAATACAACCATATATATAAGTTATATCAATTTTTTTAAAAGACCAAAAAATACTTCATGAAAATCTGTTGCCTGAAAGTAGCTTGAAAAACACTAGTCTAAAACAAACAAACAAACAAAATTAGTCTACAAGACACAGTCTAGACACCACCTTAGGGGGGACATCTCAGGTTCTTCATCATCTGGCTTTGGGTATTCTGTGTGCCCTGGCTATTATGAATGACTTGCTCTGTACATTTTCTTTCTTCCGCTTGGACTGCAGTGCTCTTTCCTTGCTTAGCTTTTTCCCATCCTTTACCTCTTCTCTCCTCTCCTCATTCTCCTACTGATCCATTAATTTTTCTGTAAGTTTTCAGCTCCAATATCATCACTAGAGTCTCCTCTGGGGTAGTCCTTCCTATTCTCTGCTTTCCCCCAATGCAGGTGTTCCCTTCTTTGAGCTGTAGTAGCACTTTATATATACCTCTATAATGAGTTAGTGTATATTGAAATTACTGGTTCTTACTGTTTCTCCACATCTTAAATTGTAAGCTCTCTAAAAATAGAGAGAATCAAAGATACCCACTTCTGTGACATAGAGCTTAGCAATATTGAAACAAAACAAACTAATAAAGAATCCAGTTAATCTCTTCAATCATCTGCTGACGCTTACCTTAGCTGCAGCTAGGCCAGCCCCAGACACAGACCTTGGAAAGATTGTGTATCATTGCTTTTTCAGCTTCACTCTGGTCTTCTTAGAAGGACTACATTCAAGATTGGTAGTTTTAAGAATATTCTGATAAATTTTTGGGTGAATGAGAAGGTCTTTTCTCTCTCTCCCAACATACACAAATACTTCCCCATCTGCTTTATCATGTCCTTTTCTTTTCACAATTAACTCTAAAAAGATTTTAGGTGCTATTATATGGGAATGGTAAGAGATTGAAACTCATTGGTACTAAATCCATAAACCAGTGTAAATGAGTTATCAGCCTTTTTTTGTTTTGTTTTTTATGGGGGCCATTACAGCAGAACTGTGGGACATGGGTTTCTAAAGGAGGCCTCCTACTAGAAAGAAGTTGCTTGTGTTGTACAAGTGGCAAAGTAGGGGCTCCTGTAAAAACAGCTGATTTCACACTTTTGCCTAGTATCACCTCTGTCTTCACTCCATCGACAGATACAAACTGTTGTTGCTATCCCAGAGTCCGCCAGTTTAGTAGAAACATTTTAGGAGATAGATGTGGGAAAGGGATTCTACCAAGTTGGTTCGATACATGTATTTTAAATACCTGATAATGTATGCATACTAAGTATGCAGAACGCTGCATTTGCGATTAGAAATGCTGTTGTAGAGTGGGAAACTTCTGAACTTTGGGCTTCAGTCACTTTTAACCTTTCTCTGAAGTTAGTAGTATGATCTAAGGTATTGGAGAGACCCTTTGGCTTTCTCATAAAGATTAGTTAGCAATGTATTTCACCTTATCAGTGAATTCCTGGATTGTTGGATCTATTACTATTTTCCATCTTAAAGTATTTTAGCATGGCTTCTACTTTACTGATTCTATTTTAATTTATTTTCTTTGGAGAACTTAAATGTGAATAATTTGTTTTCTTCTAGGTTTTGGGCGGAAAGATGTGGTTGAATATTTGCTTCAGAATGGTGCAAATGTCCAGGCACGTGATGATGGGGGCCTTATTCCTCTTCATAACGCATGCTCTTTTGGTCATGCTGAAGTAGTCAATCTCCTTTTGCGACATGGTGCAGACCCAAATGCTCGTGATAATTGGAATTACACTCCTCTCCATGAAGCTGCAATTAAAGGAAAGATTGATGTTTGCATCGGTAAGACTGTTTACATTCCAGAATTTTTTTAAAGTAGTTTGTAACTATTCTGAATCTAGATTGAATTTATTTGTTAATGTGATCAAATTCTGCCAGGCTAAATTTAAATCTTTGAGAACACTTCATGATTTAATCCAACCACTGTTTACTGAATGTTATTTTGTAGGTGATACTGGGCTTAAATTTTTTAGAGACCAGAATAGTACAAAATTCTTCTTCTCTAGAAATGTGAATTCTCTTGGAAATAATACACACAAAGAACCAGAGGGAGGCGTGGTGGAAGTGAACAGAGAGTGTTAGAGGACAGTGAGTGCAGTGACCAGGCTGGAGTTGAGTCACTCCTTCCTGAGTCTTCCCAGGAAGTCTTGGGGAGACAGGTTGAAAAGATAGGTAGGGACTTCCTTATAAGGAGTTTCAGACTCCAGGTTAAGTAGCATGATATTGTTATGTAGATAGTGTGGAATCATTAAAGATTTTAAGGAGGGTACTGTGTGCTGAGAGTAGTATATTTTAGAAAGAGTGATGTGGTAGAGGGCTGAAAAGAACGGATGGCATTAGGGAGGCTGGCTAGGAAGCTGTAGAATAAGGCAGATGAGAAATGAAGCAGGCATGCAACTAGGATGGTTATAGAATAGAAATGACAGAATAAAGAAAGAAGCATTTGAAGGAAAAATTATCAGTCATTTAGAATACTTTAAATTAACAAATGAAATAGGATTTGCCTGACAGGCTGATCACTGACAGAAAATTATATGTGAGAAGGCTGCTTATTTGAGAATTTTCAGTAACGGGGATTGACTTTTCTGAGTCTAACAGTCAGGGATTTTGGGCTCTGCTACCTTATCTCTATTTTCTGATGTAAAACGGGGGCAGTTGAAATCTTTAAGACAGATAGAAAGCCAATTCTGTGCACTAGGGAAAGTCCAAGGGCTCTATGCTAGATTTAAATTGTTCTTTCTTTCCCCCAAAACCCCAAATCACTTTATGCCAAAGTGACCAGTTTAGTTTAAATTAGGCAATTTATAAAAATAAGAAAAGGATTACCTAGTAACCTCTGCCCAATTCTTCTTTCTTGTGTGTTATCTTAAATTGCTACTGCCTCTGCTCAGAATCCTTTTCTGGTACCTCAATTTCAGACATATAAATAATTAGCTGTAATGTAGAGTTTTCCAAATACAGTTAAAGATCTGCACTGTCCAGTATGGTAGTTGAGGATGTGTAATGTGGCTAGTTGAGATACACTGTAAGGGAAAAATACATAGATTTCAAAGACAGTACAAAAAAAAAAAAAAAGGAGTGCAGAATATCTCAATTTTATATTGATTACAATATAAATGTAAATATTGAAATAAAAATATTTTGAGTATTTTGGTTTAAATAAAATTTGTTAAAATTAATTTAACCTCTTTATAATGTGGCTGCTAGAAAATTTTAAATTACATATGTAGCTCACGTTTATGACTCATGTTTTATTTCTCTTGGGTATCATTGTTACAGATAGTAGAGTAGAATGAACCTTAACCCTATCAAAGAACAGGGGCTGGGCTTCCCTTTTTGCATGTATTTATTTGCTTGTCTTTCCCCAGCTCCTTATTTATAATGTGCTGGAATAGCTTTATATAATAAATAATAGTATGTACAGAGTAGAGCATAAGTCTTCTCTTTTTATGTGCTTTGAGATATAATGTAGCAGTTTTTTTTAACATTTTTCTATTGAGCTATAGTCATTTTACAATGTTGTGTCTAATTCTAGTGTAGAGCACAGTTTTTCAGTTGTACATGAACATACATATATTCATTGTCAAATTTTTTTTTTGCTGTGAGCTTCCGTAAGATCTTGTATATATTTCCCTGTGCTATATAGTATAATTTTGTTTATCTACTCTGTATATATCTGTCAGTATCTACAAATTTTGAAATCCCAGTCTGTCTTTTCCCACCCCCCACCCTAATGTAGCAGTTTTGATTTGGGGTTTGTAAACCCTGAAGAGAATTATTTTTTTCTGTTTCTCTCTTTTTTTTTTCTTTTAAGAATTTACCTGTGGTGTTTTTTACTTTTTATTTTTTAAGTCCCAGATCTCTATTACTGGGCTATTCATACCTTTAGAAATTTCATTTCTGTTATAACAGAATAATCTTTCTAGCATAGGCAGTGTTCATTTGGAATGTGAAAACAGAAAACAAGCTTTCAGGCAAACTTGTCTTTTAGTTCCTTGTACACTCTATCTGTCCTTAGTTACTTGTCTAGCAAAGGAAAATCTGACATTGTGCTTAGGGGATATTTATTTAATGGGTCAAATACAGTAAATAATGGAATATTTTATATATTTGTATCTTTAAAATATAACATTTACCATACTGTCAGGATATGAAAAGTTTTTTAAATAACTTTGAGACTTCTGGACCAGAATTTTTGTGAAAGTGATTTACTAAAATCAAATTGTCACAATTACTATTTTGAAAGGTAGTGTTGCTCTTTTGCAGTGCTCTTACAGCATGGAGCTGAGCCGACTATCCGAAATACAGATGGAAGGACAGCATTGGATTTAGCAGACCCATCTGCCAAAGCAGTGCTGACTGGTAAGTCTGCACACTGTTGAGTATTCCGGGAAGAATATAAAGGATGAGCCTGCTAAGTAGATAGTCAGTTTCCTGCAGTTCATGACCTCAGCTAGATTTTTTAAATAGTGTCAGTTCAGTTGCTATTCTTTTCTGTGTCTGGACAGTTAACATTTGATTCTTGTCTAAGAAAGGTGACTTTTTTTTTAATTAGTATTTAAATTTGTGATTCCTGCCTTATTAGGGGCAGAGGTGGTAGATAATTGTGTGTTATAACCATTCTGTCGCTTTTCTAAACAGAAGAGTCTGGGCAGATCAGTTTCAGTACCATGAGGAATGCTAGTTACTGTGCTCTGGTGGAACTAATTCATGCCCTTGGAACCTATTAAGATTAGAAGACTGTGGTCTCTAGGTTTAGGTTGATTTTAGATGTCAAGCTTTTTTGAGTGCTAGTATCTGCTTCACATGTTTTCTCCCTTATCAGAGGGTTTCTTCATAAGCAGCTCTCTGCTGTATTATTTTCTGGATTCTTACCTATTGCGTGATCACCATTAGAATCATGTCTAATAGTCAAGAGCCTGAGTCACAAGCCTGAAGAGCTCTGCTGTGAGCTTTTGTGCTTGGACTTTGTGATATTTCTTCTGATATTACTGAGAAAATGTAAATTAGTTCCCTGCATGGTTTTTAGCAAAGTGATCTATTATTGTAACTGACAATTCAGTGTTCTTTTCCTCCTTCACTATTCCATGGTCTTCCCTACTTTTATCTTTTAAAAAAGTCTTGGGGCTTAAAAGAAGCTTTGCACAGTAATCAGTACACAATTTGTTTTGTGGACACCAGTTAAGATTTTGTTTAAGCAGATCAATAAATACTGTTTATTATGTTAATTTAAATTGTATTCATTTTTAAGTTTTTGCTTCTATTGTAAGTAAAAACTATAGGCGTAAAGAGTTTATATTTAGTCCTATATTTATTTGTATATATTTAAAGTAGCATTATAATAAAACAATTTTAGTGTTAAAAAATCTTCTCGATTCATAAAAATGTTAATGATTATGTTCAATTTGTGATTTTGTAGAATATCCTTTATAATTTCTGTAATATTGGTGTATTTGATTTTATTTGTTTTAATTTTGAATGAAGTAGGTGCATTTTCTCTATTAAACAAATAACACTGGTTTTAGGAAATTTGAGGAGGAAAAAGAAAAAAGGTGACCTATAACCTACCACTGAAGACAAACTTTGTTAAAATTTTGGTGTACTTCTTTCTTGGCTTTCCTTTTCTGTGCATATTATTTTCATATAGTTGTAGTCATATTTCGTTATATGATATTGAATCATTCCTTTTCACTTTCATAACAGATATTTCTTGTTTTACATGAAAATATTTTTAAACTGCACAATATTCTGTTGATTAACCATTTTCCATTTATTGGAAATTTATTTCCAAATTTTTTCTATTATAAATATAGTTCAGTGAGCAACTTTATGTATAAAACTGACATTACTTTTGTAATTAAATTTTCTTAATTTCTGCTATTTTTTTCCCCTAATTCACAGGTGAATATAAGAAAGATGAACTCTTGGAAAGTGCCAGGTGTGTAAATATGTACTGTTGTTATAAATATGTACCGTAAATACTTCACCTTTAATTTTAACTTTTTAACAATAAGCAAACTCTAAAAGAGAATGAATTTTTTTTTTAATGGTCACATAATGTCTCCAGATAGGATCTGACAAAGAATACAAATTGCTAATACATTTTTTTGTGTGCTAGGAGTGGCAACGAGGAGAAAATGATGGCTCTGCTTACACCATTAAATGTCAACTGCCATGCAAGTGATGGCAGAAAGGTACTTCCTTTTGCAACTAAGTTTGTGTGTGTCTCCTCGTAACATGAAATTGTGTTTGTCTTTTTACTTAAAAGAAGATGTCAACATTCTTATCAGATGTTTTAAGCGATAATTTGGATTAATTCTTAACCTTAGTAAAACTTTGTTAATAATAAGCATTTAGTTTGCTTCCTATTTGCAATAGTGAGCTTCTAAACAAACTTTTATACTATCCCTCTGGTATATATGTTAGATTTTGTAAAACCCAATTATTACTATTATTTAGACAATGAAGATAAAAAATTTTCTCTGAATTTTTACCTTTTCGTGCAATTTTGAAGCTATTATTTGTATTTCATTAATTTGTCTCATTAATATTTCAGTCAACTCCATTGCATTTGGCAGCAGGATACAACAGAGTGAAGATTGTACAACTGTTGTTGCAACATGGAGCTGATGTCCATGCTAAAGATAAAGGGTAAATAAGCATTTGAACAAAAATGAGAATTTCTTTTTTTTTTAACATTTTTTATTGATTTATAATCAAAATGAGGATTTCTTAAGTGTTACTGTGCTTATGATAATCTCTGTAATCTTGTAAAAATCATATTTTTTACTAAATATTGTAAACATTTTTATCGAGCTTTTAGAATATGCAGGTTCCTCTGAGAGCACAGGAAATTATAAAACCTTAAGGTCACCATCCATAGGGCTTACATTACACTTTAGAAGGCATGAAAAGATGCCTAACAATGTAAGTTCTCTACTAAGTGTGAGGTGGTAAATAGAAAGGCATAGTACTGCAGGGTTTCTTAGGAGCAGATACTCAGTGCTCAGGGTAGTGGTTGGGAGATCCTTGGGGAAGGTGATATTTGCCCTGGACTCAGTTCAGGAAAGCAGACAGTTTAGGAAACATCACTCTGTGCAGGAGAACTGGTGTGAGAGAAGGTGCTACAGCAGACATTACAGCATATCAAAGACACAGTGACTAGACCAGCTTGGCTAAAGCAGTGATTCACATAGGGGAGAAATAAAGGTTAGAGTTAGGAAAACAGGTAAGAACCAACTTTTAAAGGACTTGGCATTCCAGCCTAAGGAATGCAAACTTGATTCTGTGAGCCGCATTAGCCATTGAAGGATCTTAAGCAAAGAGAATCATTCTTCAAAAAGAAAAGTTTTACGAAATGCATTCTGGCAGCAATGTGTCTGGTAGCTTGAAGAAGACTAGAGGAAAAAGCAGTGAGGAGAGTGAGCATTTATGGGTTCAAGCATTTTAAGTTTTATAATAGTAGTGGCAGAGGAAATGAAAAGAAGATGCAGATGTGAGAGATACTACAGTGTAAGAATGGATAAGATTTGTTGAATATTTAGATATGATGAGATAGAAAAGAATAAAGAGATGACTACATTTCAGATTCTGAAGATGAATAAGTGAAACCCAGTGATACACATTCAGAAATCTAAGAGGGAAAAACTGTTTTGTGGGGAGAACATTGAGTTCACTTTTAGAAGTCTTGATTTTATGAGCTGATGATGGGAATTCAGGTGGAGGTAGCTAGTAGATAGTTGGGAATGAAATTAGTGCTCAGGAAGTAAGAAATCGTATAATCAAAACAATGAGGAAAACCATAAGCCTTTAAAGAGGGAGCTGATAGAACCAAAGACTAAGCCATGGATGACCATCACTCAGCAGAGGCCATTGTGATGTCTTTGGTAATTAGTGAGTGATTCCCAAGGAGGAACACCTTGGGTCAGGATTTCAAGATTCCTCTGTACCTTCCTGTATAGAAAGTTCTTCCTCCATTGCCATCATGAAGGAATTGGGATTTATATGAAGGAATATAGCAATTTATCTTATAGAATCTCAAAAAAAAATGTTTCAAACAAGAGCCAGTTTTGGCGCTCTGAGTTTGGAAAAATGTGCAGAAGTAAGTCAGAAGGGAGGGAAAATCTTTCCTGTTTCACCTGGGGAGTAGTATGGCGTTCAGGGAACCTCAGGTAGTTTAGCATTCCATTATTGAAGGGTAAGGCCAGAGAGGGTCAGATCATCGTATGCCAAGCTTAACGATTGGAACCATCTTTTGAAAGCATGGGAGAACCAAGAAGGATATTAAAACAAGGAGTAACCACATCAGATTCACTTTTTAGAAAAATCTGGCTATAACTTGGAGGATAAATTGAAGTGCGGACTGTTTCAATAGACTAGGAAGAAATAATACAGGCCCAGACTGAGGCAATGGCGGTAGCAGTGGGTTGAGGGAAAAAAAGATGAAGTTGAAAGAGACTTGGGAGTTGAAATTGTTAGAACTAGTAGGGTTCGACTAGATACTGTTAGATTTCATACATTTTTATTAGAAGGTCTCATAAACCATTTAACTTTATTTAAATTTAAGCATAAATTTAATTAAAATCAAATAAACTAAGCCTAGGAAACCTAATAACACAGGCTTTTCCCTTCCTGTCATATTGTAGTGATCTGGTGCCCCTACACAATGCCTGTTCCTATGGTCATTATGAAGTAACTGAACTTCTGGTCAAGGTTAGTTCTTGTGTACTTTTCTTATAGTTATATAAAATTACTTGAAATACATAGTGTATGTGTTTTGTGTTTTTAGTGTTGGTGCATATAGGAGTATTTATAATCATTATAAAGTGTTAGCATCTATCTGACTTTTTTGAGATTTTTGAGATACCTAAGATTTTATACATAAAATAACTGCCATTTTCCAAATATTGGATTAAGTGAATCTAAAATTTTTGGCTAAAGGTTGAAGTTTCAAAACTCTTGAAAATAACAGAAAGCAATTTGTAGTGAACCATATAATATTAAAACCACTAGTTACATTTGCAAGACCTTCCCAGTTGTACTTTGGGTTAGAGCAGGCTCACTTGGTAAGCTTCGCTTCTTCCAGTATGCTGGGTGACTACTGTTTAACAAGCAAGTTCCCAGGACTGGCAAGCAACTCCTTGTTTACCCCTGTTAGATGAGAATAGAAGCTATGTATTCTCTTTGAGAGTGGATCCAAAAATGTTACTTACACTCATTTCTTTTTGTCCCCCAGACTCTACATATGTATTTGACCACATTCTTTAGACTTCTTTCACTCTACACCCATTCTGCCTCTAAAACTTTGACTCATTCTGTCATCAGCTGTCGTGGATAGGGAAAGAGGACATTTGTTTCCAATGCCTCTTTGCTTCCTTTGGGGCATGTGCTACCACAGAATACATTTTCCCACAGAAACAACTTAATTATAATGATTAGATACTCTAAATAGCCCATAAGCCTTATAAAATTTATAATGTGGCCATAATATTATACATTTTAACAGTAGTGCTTTTGCTTATTGTAAAACTGAATCTTGAACTCAACAGAATATTTGGAATGTTATTGTGGTTGAGAGTGAGACATCACAGATTGCACTGGGACTTACAGACAACTGAATGATGTTTTCCTAAGACTTAGTATTAGCTAAATAAGAATGGGAGGCTGGTTAGAGGTTGTGTATATAGATGAAGTTAACTGAGGTGAGGGTGTAGTTACTAGAGTAGTCAGGTTCAAGAGAATCAGGAGTTATCTAGTAATTATAAAAAGCCAAATTAGTTGAGAATTAGTTTCCCATCATTGAAAGTACTAAAGAGTAAGTAGCTGGTTTGCCTTCTGCCAGAATGCTATGGCAGGGATTTTGTGTTTGATGAGAGGCTGAACTAGAATGACTTCTGTGGTCCATCGAACTCTAGTACTTGGAAATGTCTAAAATTGAAAAGACTGACAGTGTTAGCAAGGATGTGGACCACTGGAACTCAGACATTGCTGATGGCAATGCAAAAATAATACAAGCACTTTAGAAAACTGTTCAGCAGTTTCTAATAAAAGTAAACATACAACTTCCATATGACCCAGCAATTCCGCCCCTAGGGATACATCCAAGAGAAATGATAGTGTGTATTCATAAAGAGACTTGTACATGGATGTTCATGACAACCTATGTATAATAGTCAAAAACTAGAAACAGTTCAAATGCCCATCAACAGGATGATGGATTATGGGATACTGCACAATGGAATGCAACTCAGCAATAAAAACTTGATACAACAGCATGAATGATTCTCAGAAGCATTGTGTGAAAGAATCTAGACACAAGTACATATTGTGTTACTCCATTTTAGTAAAATTCAAGAATGAGTAATTCTAGTATGGTGTACCAACGGTAAGAAAGAGGGCGGGAATTGACTGTAAAAGGAGTATCAGGGGCCATTCTCGGGTAATGAAAACATCCTGTATCTTGAATTGAGTGATGATCTCATGGATATATACATTTGTCAAAACTCATCAAACTGTACACTTAAGAACTGTACATTTTACCATATGTAAATTATATCAAAGAAAAAAATAGTTCTTGGAAAAGACGAAGGTTATATCTAAAGCTTCGTTTTAACTGTTTTAACAATAAGAGTTAAAAGAGGCACTTGGGTAGTAAATAATAATGGGTAGGCCTAGGCAACCATTTTTCTATGGGGAAGATGTATTCTCTTTCTGAAATAATTGGTTTGAAAGTGACCTTTGGGAACATTATCTTTTTAAGTTTGCGTGATGTTAAATTACACAGTACTAGTAATTCTAAAGTCTCTTAAAAATTGAACTCTAAATATATACTTTACCTACCCCAACCCCTCAGCATGGTGCCTGCGTCAATGCAATGGACTTGTGGCAGTTCACTCCTCTTCATGAGGCAGCTTCCAAGAACAGGATTGAAGTGTGTTCTCTTCTCCTGAGTTACGGTGCAGATCCAACACTGCTGAACTGTCACAATAAAAGTGCTATAGACTTGGCTCCCACACCACAGCTAAAAGAAAGACTAGCATGTAAGTATAAAATGATGAATGCTCAGCTAGACTCATATCAGTAAACTAAAATCTTTTCTTGGTTTTTTTTTTAGAAATAGTAAAATAATAGAATATTTTCCTTACCCATGGATATCTATTGTTGTTCAGACTAGCATATTAAATCATTTGAAAGTTTCAACTCATTTTGCTCTTAAGATGCTATGAAAAGAAAGTATATTTGTATTTGCTTTTCTCAGGTCAGGTTAAATGC